CCTACGGTTCGAACCACTCCAACTCGCTCGACTCGTGGTACCGTTACCGTAACCCGGTCCGTACCGTACGTCCCTTACGGCCCAACGTCCCACTACGTAGGAGAGATGGGATGACCCCAAGCCTAGCCCAGCCATCTGTGCCTGGGTGGGGTGGCCCCCAGCTTAGCACAGACATTTATGACTGGGGGCGTTGTCCCCAACCTAGGCCAGACATCTAGGGTTGGTGGGGTGGCCCCCACTCTGGCCCAGTCATCTATGACCATTGGGGTCACCCCTAGCCTAGGCCAGCCATCTTTGACCATTGGGATGACCCCCTGCCTAGCCCAGCCATCCTTTGCTGGTGGGGTGGCTCCTAGCTTAGGCCAGCCTTCTATGGCTTGTGTGGTGGTCCCCAGCCTAAGCCAGCCATCTTTGACCAGCGGTGCGGGTTGTGCACTCAGTCAGCCAAGTTGGGCCCCTAGGGTGGGTTCAAATCTACCATCATCAAGGGTGAACGCAGTGGCTCCCACTCTGCGTCATTCATCATTTGCCATTGAAGTCACCTCATGTACACCGTATCCATCACTGACTAATGGCTTGGGCCAGGGTCTGAGCCAGCCAACCATGTCTACTAGGGTGGACCCACGTCAAGATCCTCTGATGGTTAGTGGGGTAGCCTCAAATCCCCAGGCCCCTGAGTTCAGCGAGATATCCCTTGGGTTTTATCAGCCACACAGTATTGGTGGAAGGCGCCCAAGCATAACTGAACAGTCTGCTGTCACAGTTTCAGCTCCAAATCTCTACCAGGCATCTATTGCCAGTGGAGGGGACTCTTGTCTGGGCCAGGGAACCAGCATATCTCAGGGGATTCTGTTCCAGGGTATGGCTACAAGCATGTCCCAGGGCACCATGGCTGCTGGCACGCTCCCGGGTGTGTCTCAGGGGACTCTGGCGGCTGGCATGTTTCTTAGTATGTCTCGAGTACCTATGTCTCCTGGCATGAGCAGGAGTATGTGCCGGAGAAGCGTGGCAACTGGTAATGGCCCAAGACAATCTCAAGGGGCCAGGGGCGTGGCTCCCCTCACATCCCGGGCCTCACTGGCTAGTGCCCCTTTGATTCATCAACCAGTCTCAGGGGTGTGCCCTGGCTTTTCTCAGGCTTCAGTGCCCAGTGGACTGGATATGAGTTTGTCCAAGTTTTCCCTGAGTAGTGTGAGTCCCAGTATGTCTCAGGTCAATGTTAGTCTCCCAATACCTTTGGACCACCAGTGTACTTCTGTGTCCACAATCTCCACATCCAGTTATCAACAAGCACACGCTGGCAGTCAGCAGCCTGGGATGGGCATAGCCAGAGGTTTGGTGCCAGGTTCTGTAGCTGGTAGGATTTCCACGGCTGTGGCCCCAGGTTCTATGGCTAAGGGCGTGGCCCCCAGCCTTCCACCAGGTTATATGATCAATGGTGTGGTTCAGACCCTCCTTCCAGGGTCTGTGATCAGTGGCATGGGCCAGGGCCCCCCTCCAGGGCCTGTGATCAGTGGCATGGGCCAGGGCCCCCCTCCAGGGCCTGTGATCAGTGGCATGGGCCAGGGCTTCCCTCCAGGGTCTGTGGCCAATGGCATGGCCAGAA